CCTTTAGCAATGCTAAGCTTTGAAACTAGAACATGCGTCGTCCTATATTTTGCTTCATTGCATTAATTCTGCCAAGAAAAGCTGCAATGGTACACTTTGCTTTGATTAAATTCACACTGTCACTTTGTAACTGAAAGTTAACTTCATTAAATTTAGTAAACAAATCTGTGAAATAAGCAATGTCTGATCGTTTTATATTAAATAAAGATGTTAAATATATGTTATATGTTATATATGTTAATTTATAAAAAAAAAACACTGTAAAACACTTCCAAAACGTGAAAAAAATCTTGCCAAACATATTTCTTTTGAGAGTTGGCACACTTCATTGTCAAGGAGTAATCTATTAAATTCCTCGTCATTCGCTTAACACAACTGCCCAAATAATCTAGAATTGAATGCGTTGCTATGAGTTTTTGACCAATTGAATTAATGACCAATTGAAGCATGTAAATGCATTTAATCTGGCATTCAGATTTTAGCTACTAAATGATGTCGATGAATGACTCAATGAATTGCAAACACCTCAGGTATTTTGTTTCAAGTAACTTTTAAAATTGCTGCTATTGATTTTATATTTGATAAAGGGATCGCTTTCTCAGGAAAATAGTCCTTCAAAACATTTAATATTGATTTGTCCTTTGTTTCTATTGCCAAAGTTCTTACATAGAGAAGTTTTTGGTTATCTGGGTCCATAACAAAACGGACATGCCGTTAACAGAGTTTCATTGCCAGATAATGTTGACTCGTTGAGAAATGCTTCGTTTGCAGATAAGTACTCGAGATATCTTCAAAATCATGGCTCATCTGATCAATCTCATCTCAAAGAAATTCTTAAGTATATCACGTACAGGTTGGTGTGGAACAGTTTTTAACAAATCTTCAAGAGCTACTAGAATCAGTTGTTCTCCGATATTATGTATAACTGAAACAAACATACTACTATATGGGAAATAAGTCAATACTCACAATTTTAAGTAGTTTTTATTTAATAAAGTTGGCGAATTTTGGGCTACCCATTTCAAGGCTTACAATATTTGCCCCATCATCAGGTCCCAGTACGTTATTTTTATATGTATTAAAAACTAAAAGATGTCAGATATAGGAAAGCTTTATAACCTAAGGTACTTCTGAGAATCAACTTCCCCCTTAAGGAATACATTCACTCATACTTATGAATTTCTAGATAATCTTCAAATCAAACTAAATATTAAGATGTTATTATTATTATTTATTTATACTGTATATTTTGTCTTCAGCTGTTGTGTCAAAGTGTATAAATTAATTTAATTCAATAAAATTTCTTTGGACGGCACAAACATTAAAACAATTTGCAATATTTTTCTTTTTTAATTTATATTTACCACAAAATAGGATCGGGAGTTCGTTAAATTTCTCACAAATCTTTCAAATTGTTTTCAATCTACACCTGCAGACCAGTTTTGTATTTACACAATACCCGAAGTGGTAATCTGATCCGGCACCTGTTTGTTTCTATTTCTTGTTATTGTTTTCGTAACTGTAAGTAAATAAATAAATAAATCACACACCGGTATTTTTTCATCGTTCTATTTTTACTAAAAGGTGTCCTATTAGTCTGTCATAAAAAACGTTTTATTGTTTGAATGTACAAATTGAAAGGCAATAAAAAATACCGTTTAAAAGATTCGTTAAGACCGTTGAAAAACTAGTTACCACAATTCCCTATCAATTGCTTCTGCTTTGTCTGTAAAAAGACACTCTATAGCCCACAGTTGGGACGTCCACATTTCACCCTCTACGTGCATTGTACGTAATTATGCGGTACACCCAGAAGAAGATTTTTAAGCTCGACGCTCTAACACACTCTTTACTTTAGTCAAAAGTCTTACAGTAGACACATTCTCTCTTTTCTAGGTGGAACAATTACTCCCGAAACTCTCACGTCCCAAGTTGCGACAGTCCTCAGTTTCGGACAGCTCCGTAAAATAATATTTTTCGCTTTCACTACGCATTATCGTATAAGACATAGCAAAGTGGTCAAGTTTAAACGTAATAGTTGTAAAATAAAAGTGTTTATAACTGTGCTCAAATAAAATAAAATAATTTAAACTTACAATCTATAATTACTTCAACATCGAATTGGTACCTGCTTCGACGAAAATTTATTAATCAGAGTCTTATAATTAACCACTTAGAAGTTGGGATTCCCGTCTTATGTTGAGGACATCCACAACAATATAATATAAATTAACACATAATATATTGATGTATGTTCATATAAATTTTATATGATAAAATATAAACGAAACTATGCAAGTGTTTAAATATAATAAAATAGAACAATATACATTTCCAATGAAATGAAGACATTAAAAACGAACAAAAACAAAACAGCATTAACAAAAGAATAAAATCACGACAAAATAGTGGATATGGGGAAGTACAACGTATGACCAAATGAAGAATGAAGAAGACTGACAGTGAACTGCTGTGTATATTGAAGTGCCTAGCACAATACCAATTGCATTACTTTATCTTATGATTTTAATGTTTTAGAATAAAATATGGATAATTCAGTACCCATTAAAGAAATACTTTATTATGGCAAAAATAAAATAAATACTTTTATTAGTTTATTGATTAAAAATGTGACACATGTGTAATATGACTCAACCCGAGCAAATGTCCATAACGATAAATTCAAAGCTAATGTCATTTTAAATAGTACCATTACGTGTTACATAATTCAAAATTATACCAACCACTTATCACAGCGATTTGTCTCAGCTTTCAAGGTTAGAAGCCAAACATTTAATTAACAGGTAGCTGCGTTTGAAAAGTTTAATATTTAAATACTATACGATATATCAAATGGTTGTTTTCTCACGATTATTTCGTTTGTTTATGTGTACGCATTCTGCCCACGTACCACCAGCGAGTGTTAAATTTAAAGAGTTGGAATTATTTAATAATGGAGTGGTAAATTGTCAGCTGTAGGTAGCAGAAAACAATTTCAGAGAGGAACCGAAATATTTTGTTGGTTTAAGGAATTTGATCGTTATGTTCTACACTGAAAAAACAAATATATTAGTAAGATTTGCGCCACAGAAATAAATGAAGCTCTTTACAGAAGCTTGACATGAGTTTAATCTAATAATATAAAGTTAATATAGAATGGTTTGCATTTATAGTCAATATTTTTATGTATTTGTTGTATTTTACATTATTTTTTAAATTTCTTTGCTTCTTTTCCTCCCCGGCGAGAAGTTCCTCTGAACCTTCGAATACTGGTGTTACATATGGCCCATACTGATGTAGGGAAATGAGACCTGGTCATTTAAAGTAAGATTCTGGATCCTGTGGAATATTTCGGAATGTGGTGTTTTAGAAGATTGCTCAGAATGCCATGGGTGAACCACATTACAAATGAAGATGTTCCAAGAAGATCAAATGTTCAATGCGAACTGCTAGATCTTATTAAACAGGCAAAGATTTCATATTTGGACCTTATAATAAGACAAGGCTAATATAAGCCATTAAATTAGTGGGTAGCGGGCAAAATAAATTATAAAAGTTTTAAAATAAGCCTGGAAGACAAAATGAATGTGGCTGTTCCACTGAAAGATTTGGAAAAACCCAACTATCAAGTAAAACTATTCGCGAAATGTATCCATTAATCAGCATAGGACAATTTACCACATTAACATCAAGAATATTCATACAGGGAACAAATAATCAACAGAAATTACAGTAATGGTCCGGGACTGCGCGAGGAAACTCTAAACTGATTAAGTCACAGCACAGTAGAATCTGGATGAGGAAGTCCTTATCTTCGACATGACATACACCATCGTATCCATGCGATATATGGCACAGAAGGATCAGTATTGTCATGATCTCCCAGAGTGCTGGTGAGCTCTGGGGAATTATAGTCTTGGTACCATACCCATACGGTACCATATGGGACCAGTGTCATACCTGATAGCATCATCTCGTGGAAATCAAATGGACACGAAGGGAAAATATATGGCCCACAAGAGAACTGTTGTGACTATTCTGAGTCTAAACATAAAAATATAAAGGGAACGAGCAGAGAGGCAAATTCTACTCACGGATAACTTTTTCTTTTCTAATGACCACGGTCAGAACCCTCCAAGTGAAGCTTTAGCAAAATAAATCATCTTTAGTAGAGGTTACTGTTGTACGAGAAGGGTCCACATCGCCTTGATACAAAAAACATGAGTCAAATAAATCAGCTATCTATCGGGTTTTGATGGAAAGCTTATATATAGCAGATTTGCCTCTTCCTAGGAAATATATAACATGTAAGATGTACAATCATACAAGTAGCTGCAGTACGATCGATTTACAAACACAAAAAATTAAATCTTGCAAATACTGCAACTAATTCACGTTATTCAACAACTAAAGGGAGGTACACATTCATAATTCTTTTCTATTCTCACATAACTTTTAGATTTGTTAGACAACTTGTTTCTCTTTACTCTAATGTTGTTCACACTTTTCTAGATAAATCATTTGATCCAACTCCTTTACGTTTCTTTACTTTATAGATGGCTCGATTCATTCATCACATTATCAATGTTAAATTAAAATAATAATATGTAATTTCTATAACTTCAGTGTAAAATATGAAACAGATCAATTTCCTTAACCAAATTAATTGACGAAGTACTTATTTTATCTTTTTTTTCTTAAAGAACAATCAAAGAGGGACCAATCTTAAGACATAATTAAGAAGAGTTATAATAGAAAAGCTAAGAATTGTATTTTTCTAAGTATTTACAAAAAAAACTACAAAAAAAATAGAAAAAATCGATTAAGTGCCAAAAAAATATAACGAAACGAAACATAACGAACAAATTTAAATTTGTGACCAATTCAAACTGCCTCTAAACTATACCGACAAATACTATTTATTATAGTAAACTAGAATCGACCGAGAGTGCCTTTTTAGTATTATAAAACATGAAAAGTATAAAAGCTATATTTCGTAGAGGACAAAATACGAAAATAGATGGTCAGAACATAGGCGACAATCTGTCCAGGGCTTCTTCGGTGACCAATCTAGATGCGGAGCCCAAGGTTGCGAAAGGTGCCAAGCCGAGGAAGAGTTCGTCAAGAGATCGAATAGACAAGATTGGAGAAAGCAGAAAAAATGATAAGAAAGGTAAGTAATTTTAGTTTTTTTTTTATTTTCTATAATATCTTCTTGTTTAGTGGGTTGTAAGAGTGGTCGACGACTACGGGGTTTGTGTTTGAATACTAATTGTATTAACTTATCAACTACATTCGTGCGACAAATAGTCGCACCAAAAACGACGTATTTCTTATTTATCTAATTATGTCTACTCTGCATATATTTCTGATCGATTAATTTCTTACTCTTCCCCAGGTCTTTTCTGTTTTATTTTCTTCCCCCACAGAAACTCAGAAACCAAGAGTTTTTTCAAAATTTCAAAAAACACGTCAATTTGTATTGAGAGGGGGACGAATTTTCATGCAAAATTCATGCCCTAAAATGTAACCCCCTACTGTTCCACATCAACTCCCAGTTTTTTTAAAATAGCAAGTAGTGTGGTCGAGTAGCACATCATTTGAAGGGTATTTTCTTTCTACACGACACACTATTTTTTTTAATTTACGGAATATCTTTGAAGATAATTTTGGATTTAACTAATTTATCGGTTGAACACCAGTAATAACTTCTTCGCGCGACTAGGATTACTCCTGTTTGCCTCCCTCTTATTCTGTTTCAGTCGTTGTTGACTGTACATTATCTTTCCACCTTTTAGGCAGCCTTGCAACGGGTCTTCTGCTATAAGGCTTGCTGTTTTTACAGATGTTCGCTAATCTATATGGTCCCATTCGGTTTACATGTTCGTTCCAGTTTTTTTCTTGTTTTTATCCACCTGTTATTTTGAATTTTGCATTGTTCGCGTATACTTCTGTTGGTTTGTCTGTCTCTTAATGATATGTCGAAACAACAATATCGAAAATTCATTTCGATATTGTTGATTTGTTGTTTTGTCTTTCTTATATCGGTCCTTATCTCCGCTGCATATGATAGGATTGGTCTTACTGTTGTCTTGAATACTTTCCTTGTGGCCCCTGTTCATATATCTCTGTCACTAGTGATCTCTACTCCTAGGTAATTGAATTTCATTACTTGTTCTACGAAAACTTGAATACTTAGGTCACCTGATGAGAGGACAAAAGTATACGTTCCTACAAAATATAATGCAAGGAAAGATCCAAGGACGCAGAAATCCAGGCCGTAGAAGAATGTCCTGGATGAGAAATTTAAGAGAGTGGTTTGGGTGTACCATTAACGAATTATTCAAAACAGCAGTTAATAAAATTAGAATCGCCATAATAATATCCAATCTCCGATAGGAGAGGCACTCAAAAAAGAAGAAGACTTGTTCTACAATTTTGCCGTCTATTTCTAGTTTGCATCTACGCGATTTACTGATGACTATACATTTAGTTTCTTCTACTGATATTCTCATATTAAGTTTGTTTGCTGTGATATTGAAGGTGTGGAACTGCTTTTGTAGGTCATCTTCGTTATCAGCAATTAGTACTGCATCATCGGCATAGCATAGTATCGTAATTTTATGCGCTCCCATGTGGTATCCGTGTCGTTTTCTTACTTCGTGAATTATTTGATTCATCACCATATTGAATAACAATGGGCTGAGCGAGTCTCCTTGGCGGATTCCTCCTTTTAGTTATATGCATTCTGTTTCTCCTGTTGGCATTATAACTCTGGTCTTGTTGTTCTTGTTAATTTCATTAATTGTCCTTATTATCTGATGGTCTATTTGTTCAGCTTGTAATAAATTTAAGATGTCATTTCGCTTCACCCTGTCAAAAGCACTTTTTAAATCTACAAAGCACATGTATGTTGGTTTTCCATATTCAATAGACTTCTCTATTATTTGTCTGATAATAAAAATTGCGTCTATTGTGCTGCGATTCTTCCGGAAGCCTTGTTGTTCATCTGCCATTTTCGCTTTTTCCTCCATTTTGTCTTTTATGACTGCCGTTAACAATTTTAATGTACTATTCATCAGACTAATGCCTCTTATAGTTCAGTTTCAGGATTTCTCGAGTCTCCCTTTTAAGTATCGGTAGCAGGAGACTTTCCTTCAATTCCGCTGGTACTACTCTGGTATCTACTATATCGACGAATAATTTTAGGAGCCATGTGCGTAGTGTTCTTCCTCCATATTTTAGCAGTTCATTGTTTATCTTATCAGAACCAGATGCTTTTCTGTTTTGTAATTTTTTTCTTCTGATATTAGTTCTCTATCGTGAGTTTCGTTAATGATTCTTTCTCTGTTCTCTTCTTCTCCTCCATATAATTTCGTGAAATGCTCAGTCAATTGTTCCTCCGTAATGTTATCTATGCGTACAAATTCATTCATTTCTGTTTTTTGTCTCCTTATCATCTTCCACACTTTTTTTGGGATCCATAGAGGTCCTATTCTATATGTTTTGCCTTCGGTCTCTTCAGTCCTTTGTATGTTAGGAAAACTTGTTTCTTTTCATTTGCTAGTGCTTTCACCCTTTCGTCGGACCATGGAGTTTTGTATTCCCGTTTATTTCTGTTAACTTTTCTTTTACCTAAAGCTTCTTCCGCTGCTTGTTTTCTGTTAGTCTTACCATGGAGTTTTGTATCCCCTTTTATTTCTGTTAACTTTTCTTTTACCTAAAGCTTCTTCCGCTGCTTGTTTTCTGTTAGTCTGTTTCTATACAAATTTTGTGTTCCTTCTTCTTCTTAGCTTTCTTTAACTTTCTTTAACTTTTCTTCTACTTTTGTATTTCGCTTGCCATGTTTGGTGATTGCTATATTTATTTTTCCTAGTACCAGGTCATGGTCGGATCCTACATTGGCGGAAGATAGAGTGCGCACATCTATTATTTTCTTGGGGCGTATTTGTCTGTTTGTTAAAATGTAGTCAATCATAGAGTCACGTCCTCTTGTATCTGATCAGGTGATCTTATGTTGTATTGGGTGGTCAAAGTATGTGTTGTTAATTCGGAGGTTATTTATTAAACAAAGTTCTAGAAGTCTTTCTCCGTTGTCGTTGAGTGTTTCGATTCATAAAATTTCATCAAATTAACCAATTAAATGTTCGAAATGACCTCCTGTGCCTCTTCGTACATTTGCAAATACCTCCGGTGTCAATAATCGGCATTTTGTTACAATTCTTTGTCGCAACTCAATCATAATGTGGGAATGTCCCGTCCTGTTGGAAAGTCTGTTCATTTTCTAAAAGAACATTATGAGATTCCAATGTGTCAGTGATCAGCGGATCAATAATGTCTTCTAACAAATTTAAATAGACATTTAATTTCTGAGGTGTTTGTGTATGTGCCCCCATAAATAAATGAGGATTACTGTTACTCTAATAACAACAATTATGCCTATTAACTTCACCATTTAACATAAAGGTACACTCGTCGGAAAAGCACGTATTGTATAATCGATGTTGGTTGTTATTTATGATTTCACTAAATTCTTTACAAGATTGAAGCCGACGATCAAGATCATCTTTGTTTAAATGATGAAATGTTCGTGTTTTATAAGGATGAAATTTATGGGAGTTTATAATTCGATAAACACTAGATGCTGATACACCAGAGGCACGAGACAGTTGTCTGATAGACTGTCGATTATCCATTTGTAAGAGACCCATTACCGGCACTTAACTGCTTCATTTCACACCGTACGGTCTACTTCTTGCTTGGTGTTGTTAACGTCACCTCTAGCTTCAAACTTATCAGTTAAATGTTTAACGTATTAATTAAAAAAATAAAGAAAAAAAATTATCTTTCAAAAAATGATGTCTCACTCGACCACACTTGCTGTTAAAAAAAAACTGGAACTTGATGCCAGGCAATATGGGGTTACATTTGAGAGCATGAATTTTGCATAAAAATTCGTCCCCCTCTATATACAAATTGACGTTTTTTCTTAAATTTTGGAGAAACTCTTGGTTTCTGAGTTTCTGGGGACGGTCTAATTTTCGTTGGAACACACTGTATATACAGTGTGTGCAATTTCATATTATTTGTCGAAATTAGATGCAGCTATTTACTCAAGATAAAGCAAAAAGTCAATTGAGATGCGCAGTCGTATTTTTGTTTAGATTTTTCTACGTATAATGGAGAAAATCAAAACCGTTGGTTATATCTGATGGACCTATCGAATCTTGTAGGTAGCAGGGAGCGTTTTTATTCCATAGTCCATTTAGCACCTAGGACGAAGCTGTTACCAAACTGTTTAACAAGATGCCAGGGTGGTTTTCGGGATTGCAGTTGGTTTGTGGCCAGCCGGGGTACATTCGAGTTGATGGGCAATTCAGTGTTGTTCATGGTTTTATTGTATTCCGTAACTGTCTGCCTGCGCAGAGAGGGTGGAACTATATAGCTGACTGTTAAAAGCTAGAAAGGGGAGTAGGATCGACAACCAGTACCATCCTCATTGTTCTATGTAGTTGGGTGCCAATCATTTTAGAGTATGTGCTATTCAGCCAAACTGGTGCGCAATATTCGGCCACGAAGTATATCAGACAAAGAGCTGAAAATCTTAATACGGCGTTATTTTTAATATGTTTTGAAGGTTCTAAAGTCACTTCAAGCTATTTAGCATTCTTTTGGTGTTTAAATAGGGTAATTTTAAAAGAGACTTCCAGTTGGTGGTTTGCTTCCCTGTTGTTAGGATGGAACCAGCTAGTTTCTGCCTTATTTAGGTTTGATATTAGCCTCAATTTTTTAAAGTATTTATTCAGAGTTTGTTATGTCAAATCATCTGTTACGGTTTTCTCCAGCCGGAGTTAAGACAGGAGTTAAGACCAACAGCTTAAGAGAGCTGTTGGTCTGTAACTATCTGGCTTGTCGCTTGGCTTGTTTGGTTTCAATATCGTGATTATCTTTGAAGTTTTAAAAACTTTTGGTGAAATTCGTATTAATAAAAGGTTTGAATATTATTTGGTAAGCATTTAAGCTGCTCAGCCATATCCGGATCATTATTCTCTGCATAGACATTATATAGTTTGACACATTCATTGTTCGATCCCAAGGTGTATTCCTTTCCGCCTCTTTGGATCAATTTTTTAGTAGTTGCAAGTAGGACACCGTTAAACATGTTGACTGTAGCTGTGATCTTCCCTATAACGTTACCAAGGTCTTCGGAAAAGTCGCTCCAGTTTGTTTTTCGGAAATTTCCGTCTCGGTCTGGGAATGGACCTAATTTATAGGTATTTGTATTCCTGTTCTATTAAAGTCGCCTACCTACATTAGAGGATAGTATTGTCCCACGGAAGCTCTTTTACTTAGATAATAGTTTGGAGTAATCCGTACTCTCCCTGGTTTTTCATAGTACGCGTAAGTTATTCTATCTTTGGACTTTTTGTTGTAAACAATAGTTTCCATATATTACCCATTCGTCTGAGAAATTTCTCGTTGACAATTCAATCAGTCCACGGAATTTTAACAAATATTCTATATATCCAGAGTCAAAATGCCTATTGCTGTTATATTATGCTATTCTTCTCTCTCCATAGGTTCTAGAAGTTGCACGCCTCAGCACCGTTCAACAAAATAGTGCAAACATAACATGACACTAGGCGTTTCTTAAGTCATTTCTACATTTTTTTCTGCTAATGATCCCAGTCTTTATTCAATGTACAGCCCAGATATGTGAATTTTGCTAACGTCTTCCGGTTTATAGTTTCCATTCTCGTTCCAGCATTCGGCCTCAAGATTTCTCTTCGACATTGCCCTTTGAACATCTCCTAACCATGTCGGCATTGGTCTGCCTCTTTTCCTACTTTCGATTGTTATTCATTTTAATATTTAGGAGGTTATCTGTAATCCATTCTTTGGACATGGTCATACCAAATAAGCTGTCTGCGTTGAATTTCTTGTACTATAGTTGTTGTGACTCTCATACTGCGTAGAAATCCATTTCTAATGACAACGTGTCACTTTCTAGAGATTTGTTTAGGTACCATGTTTTGAGGTATTTTCTTTCTCTATTTATATCTTTGGTCCATAGTATTGAATTTACTTTCTTATATTTTTTCAATGCGGCCACTACAGCTTATTACTACGTGTACTACCTACAAGTATTGTTTTCAACTATGGCTAAGTTGCCTGTTGGGTTTCCGATGAAAATGTATTGAGTTTATGTTGGGTTTACTGATAGGCAATATTCTTCATATTCTTTAGATCACCACCGAAAGGAAGTGTGTAAAAAGCATTCTCCTCGTCTAATTGTACGCTCATTCCAGAGCAGGACCTTCTCTACTTTGTCAAAGCTTTATTTAGATATTTATGCTTTAAACAGCACTAGAGAAATGCAGCATCCCTGTTGCAATCCTTTTGTCACTAGATATTATTTTAAGAGGGTATTTCTTTATTTAATTTTTGACGTGGACTATTTCTACAGTTACTTTACTGCTGCAGTGATTGTATTATTTATTTGACAGTTTTACAGGTTTTAATTACTATTTATAATTGGGAATAAGCCACAATTAAAGATAAAAATACGTTTATTGACGTTTCAATTTCCAATTCGGAAATCGTTCTCAAAATACAAACAGTAAATTAAACAAATTTTGTTTTTTGTTACATAGTGAAAAAATTCTTCTAATAATTTAATTTTATCTGACTCATTTATATTGACAATTCAGACATACATTATGCATTTTAAAGTAGACGACTTTAAAATGATATTGCCAATATTGTTGAGTTGCGCTCCTGGGACGACTTTACTTATAAGATAGTTCATTCGATTACATGAAATCAACTTTAACTTGAGAATATCCGTCAGAAAAAATCATAGCATGTAATTCGATTTTAAAAAGACAAACACATGACATGATGACAGTAAAATTCCATAGTAATTAAAAAACATAAATGATGTATCCTCTATATGTTACTGACTTACTAATACTGGTATTTTCTTATTAATAACTTCCTCTTTCAATATTGGTAACCAGATCCTACTACATTCTGCCGAGGAATTTGCGACACAGTTGGCCTCATTTAGCATAATTAGAGCCGCTTCTTTGATTTTTCTTTTTTTACCATCCGTTTCTTTTAGGACTATATTTGAATTATTCCATTGAACCCTATGTTCATTATCCCATGCGTGTTTACATATTTGAGATCTATCAAATTCTCTATTTTTAATATAAGATTGATGTTCACTTATTCTAACATTTAATGGCCTTGATGATTCACCTAAATAAAACTGATCGCATTCACAAGGTATTTTATAAATGCAATTCTTTGTCCTTTCTTGTTCATTGTTAGGTTTGGTTTTGGACAAAATAGATCTCAACGTGTTTGTTGTTTTGAATGTTGTTGAAATGTTGAATTTATTTCCTATCCTTTTAAGTTTTTCTGATAATCCTTTTATGTACGGTGTTGTTATTTTCCTCATATTATTCCTTGTGTATGCTGTAGGATCTCGTTCTAAGTTGTTCTGTTCTATTCGATCGATTGTTGAAAATTCCTTATTTATAAACGATAAAGGATAATCATTTTTTAACAAAACAGATGTTAACAAATGTTTCTCCTCCAAGAACGAATTTTCGTTAGAACAAGTAATTTTGGCTCTATCGTATAAGGATTTAATTATTCCCTTTTTTACATTAATATTGTGATTTGATTTGAAATTTAAATATCTATTGGTGTGTGTTGGTTTTCTATACACCTGAGTCTCATATCCAGTATCGTTCTTAGAGATTAAAACATCCAGGAAAGGTAGCGTGTTATTATATTATATATAAAGTAATTAATGTACAATGCCACAAGAAAATAGCTTCAGAACAATATTAACAGGTTTTGTCGTAGGGTTTTCCAGGTTTTTTACAAGTTTTTTTTAGGTGAACAAATAAATTTAATAGATTAATGTTTTGGTTACTGATCACTTTTGTTTTTAGTTGAATTATAGCAAAAATACGTTTAAAAACATTATCTCTAAGCTTACAATCCTGCTTGTTTGTATTCTTCTATTATGTTGTTTAAAATATGTCCGTATCGTTGGCTAAAATTAACTACAGTTACTGAGATACATATTATGTAGTTTCCACAACAGCCTCCTGGACCTTTTTCAGATTTCTTTCTATTTACATATCTTGTAAATAACTCTTCAAGATAGTAGCAATATCTTCTTGCTTTTGCTTATCATCATTATTTCTGCTTCCTCATTAATATATTCTCTCTGAAGGAAAATATTTATGTCCTAAATGTTTTATTAAGGTGCTTAGGTCATCTTACCGAGATTTTTTTGAGCTCTGGAGTGAAGATTCTTTTGTAATATTTTTAATAACGTTTAGTTTAACTTGTTTATAATTTTTACATTCTTAGGAATTACCCGTAACAACAATCAACTAGATTCTGGCGAGAATCCTTACCATTCAGTGGATTCCCTTTCAGAAGAGGAGTTGTTACATCTGAGAAAACAACTGCAAGAAATGGCTCAGGAGAAGACTAATTTGGCTCTTCAGTTAGGGGAGCAGAAGGGCCAGCTGAATATTTTACAAAAGGAAATACAGAAGTTAAAGGTGAGCATTATTTTTTGATTCGTTTACTAAAACGTTGTGTCATTGTTTACATCCACGAGGTCCATCTTGAGGTACTAATAATTTTGCGTGAACTAAGGAAGTACTTGATATCTTTTATCATACTACCAAATTCTTAATGGCATTGTGTTTAAAAAATTGTTCAATAACTGTATAAATTATTAGAAAGAAACAATCCATTACTATATTTTTAGTTTAATAATTGTTCTAACTATTGATAACACAATCTTTATGATCTTTCAAATATAATCCTGATAAGCATTAAACTTGTAAGTGTGGCTTGAAACAATAATATTGATTTCAATTTACACTAGTATAAGATTTTCGATATTAATATCCGCTATTTTTAGACTTATTCCCTTGAGATGAATACCTAATATCGTATGAATGCAATTTCCAATACGCATTTTGCGCAAATTAAAGTTTTGAAAAGTCAAAACCTCACAAGGAAATGTAAAATTTGTTAATTGCTATATTAATTTAATAACGATAATTTCCAAAAGGTTTACAATTTTTTTCAAAAGATTTTCGATCTTGTCAGTACATCATCAGTGATATTACTGAAAATGAGGTTTTTTAACAGAGTGGGATAAAAAGTTATGTTTTTCCTTTGCCTATGTGGGAAGAGCTGTTGTTGTGATTTGATTATTTCATTTTTAAGGTTTTTGGCCTGTTAAGGACCTTAGAAAAGTACACGAGCATGCTGCCTTAGCAACGGGATAAGTTTAAGTACTATAAAACGGATCTCTCGTAAATAACAAATAAGTATATAAGTTGCATCTACATCAACATTTCGACGCCTAACAACAAAAGAATGAACTCTCTCCCAAAATCTAACTTAAACGTCTATGACAGAAGTTTACTTCGTCGTACAAGAATACATTTGTATGCCACGAAAAAAGAGTTCCTACGCTACACAACAAAAACATTTTGTAAAGACAATATTTATACATGATCACACGAAACTTTTGAACACACACGAGAAAAATTGAAGAGGTATGGTGTTTTGATGGAGAAAACGAAGAAAATTCTAATGGAAAAATCTTATATATAAGTGCTTCAGAGAAATTTTGTCAGGAACATTAAATATTACAAGGAACAAACTCGGCCCATAATTTACATTGATGAAACTTATATCCATCCCTTTTATACACATAACAAAAACTAGGGAGACAATACCACTGAAGGTTTGCACAAGTCAGTGTCCAAAGAGCAGAGGCTGATTATGATTCACGCAGGCGACGAAAAAATGGATTCATGATACACTTATTCCTAACATACCAGCCCGTATTATATTGTATGTATGTCCAAGTTAAAAAATGTCCCATTGTGGGGTGTCATCATCCAGTTAATACATATCCGCTTTATCTCGTCAGTCCATCTCGTGGGTGGTATTCCCGAGTTTCTTCTATCCGTTATTCTCGTATGAGTTTTTACTCTAGCGACGTGTCCTGCAAACTTTCATTTAATTTTAGCTATGTTTTTTATAAGGTCCTCTATCCTATGGGGTGTATAAAAGACGAAATCAAGGAGTGGTTAAGATAGCCCAACGTTCCATTTTCACAAGAAATGGTAAAGACAGAATATATATCTTCAGTGTTGTTTTCAAGCGTTGGCTGTCGTCGTATCAACAAGCTGATGAAATGTTTCTCGGTCGGTAGCTAGATGAAACAATTCCTCGACTGTTCGACCTCTCCATTGTCTAATGTTACGTAGCTAGGACAGTTTTTTTCTTCCAGCCCAGTGTTTTGCTCGATTTTGCAGTGAATGATCAACCGTAGTTAGCGATATTTAGGTCGGTAGCGTTGATTAATTCTCGTTCTTTGTGGTCTCTAGCACACGTTCGTTGCGGTAACACCACAACTTGAACTCTTCTATTTTGTTTGTGGACTAAACGTAGCACTTCAATACTCTTAGACTTGTGGTCAATGATAGACTTCGACTGCACAATACAGAACACCAGTTAATAAAGCTTTTTCGTGTCAATTATATTCTGGTCGAAATTTCGTAGTCACTTTCAACCCTGCAGTCAATCAAACTATCCAGATATCTAAAGTATTTCTACCCAAGAATATATATATATATATATATATATATATATATAATATATATATATATATATATTATATCAGATTATGAATGATACAGGTCAGTCTACCCTAAGACTAGCACCCGGACTTAAATCCAAATGAAATAGTGTGGGATTCTTTAAAACGATGCTACATATTCTCGATCTTTTCATGCGAAGCAGAGACTTAGAACTTAACTTAGGTAAGAATAAAGAGGCTGAAACCGTTCGAGATAAGGACTTCACAATAATTTTTAAAATTTCATAGATGGACAAAATATCAAATGCAAGAGTACTCCAAAAACTAAATAAAGGAAGAGAAATAATACACAGTACACAGTAAAACGTATTGGAATATTTGGCTCACACAATGAGAAATGGAACCAAATATAAATTATTAAAATGCATACTGTGAGGAAAAGTTACTTAAAAGTAGGTAATTACACTTTAATTTCATAGAAAAGGGTAAAATTTTAACTTAAAACTTTGCATAACGCCAAAAGCCGTTACACCACGGTTCAAAAGGCTTGAATTTATTAATAAAATGTTATTTGAACTTAACATTGAAATGACATGTCGTCGATGATTATGGATTTTAAATAAACGCGAACATACTGAGCTCTATCTCGAAAATGGCGACCACGTCTGTATCAAGCCAAATTGACCATTGGGTCTTGGTCTGTCTCAAAACATTCTTTCATCCTTCCCTGACGCGTGCCTATCTTCTCGAAACGTTCTTTCCTATCTCCCTTAAATCTCCCTTTACATCGTCCAGATATCTGAGTTTAGGCCGTTTCTTCTTTCGACTGACCTATTTAACATAGTTATTTCAGTAGGGGTTTATCCGTATAACGTAGCTCATGCTAGACGTTTTATTTTGATGGTTTTTCTACATATCTGCATCACCGAAAAGTATATAGAGTTCGATATTTGTCGCTCTTGACATGGTTCCCGCTAGTCCAAATTAACAGCGGTTAGCCGCGCTTATTCTTTTTCTTATTTCTTTGGATGTGTTGCTTTTGCAATGTCTGTGTCGTAGAACAAAAACATCAGACGCTATCGATAAAATCACTTTTTTAACATGGAATTGGGCAGTACGCGTCGCCAGATACGTAGTAGAGGACACCCATCAACTATATGGACTGACGACTTGAAGCGTGTTAGGAATAACTGGATGCCAGCTCACTTAAGTATTGTTACATTTCGTTTAAATCACATAATTCAAAAACCAACTTATTTACAATCCTAAACTCCATGATAGTAATTATATACTTCCAAATCTGAATTACAACTGCTCTATAAACTACATATTAACTTTATATTTATATCATGACTTCATATTTAAATCTAAGGCTTATATCTGTCGTAACACTATTTTAAAAATGGGGAGAATTTACCATTGTACAATTCAGTACATTGGACCATTTAAATCGACACTTTAAAGTGAATTTAAAACAGTCGTATATTCGTGGAATAGAGTATACAAATAATGGTATATTCTGATGATATCGTGATAATTGTAAGAACCCGAAAGGAAGCAGTTGCAGTTTTCACACGTATCAAAAACACTGCAGAAAACATCGGACTTATGATTAACACCAAGAAAACTAAATATATGCTATATCAAGAATGCAACAAAATCTGCAACTCGAAATGCAATATGAAACTATAGAAACGGTGGAAGACTTCTGCTACTTACGATCAACCTGTATGCGTCCACTGCTGGACATGTCTCCCTCAGCCCTTTCCATCTGTCTCTTATTCCAGTTATTCTCTTAAACTGGACTCCACTTCCACTTATTCTCTTAATCTTCTAAAACTATCATCGACGATCAGATTCACAGCCATAATCAGTCGGCGATATATGAAACTGTATATAAATTTTCGTTACTTTTTAATATCTGTAACGACTCGGTACTTTAACTATCAATAGCCGGTATGTTATACCCGTTACTTTCGGAACTTTTAAGAGTACATAAACTAAAAAGCAAACAAATATTTAAAACTAACAAAGTGAAATATTAGATCCTTTTTCTATTTTCTGAACCATCGTTCTCCCAATTTCTTTTCATTTATATTAAAAATAGTATATTTCTTTTTATTACAGTTGTAATACCTAATAAAGTCATAAATTAGAGTAATATCAAAGAAACCCGGCACACCTCTTTGGTGTTTACATTTCACGGAAAGCTTACCCAAATGTCTGATGAACACAATTGACTTCATAGACGTCATTGTATTTATTTGTAGATTTTAACTGAAATAATTTTAGTTTAGACACAGAATAATAAACAAACATAATGCCCACTCTCCACGGAAAATTAAGTACGCGCATCTCCTTCGCGCAGACGTTCCGCCATGTTTTACGAGGATTTTAAAGGGAACCAGTGTTGTTTATGTGGTGTGCATGAAAAAAAACTTACTTACGGCAATCATAGACATACTATACAATTATATTAACAGTTTTAAATATAATAACATAAATATAATATAATTAAACATAAATGTAAACAATTGCATAACCTCACAAATCATATGTTTGTGTCCTCCTAAAACATGGCCCGCGTGCTGAAAAACTTCAAAGGCGGCATCTGAGAGTGGCCCTTCTGATTGTTTATTATTCTGTGGTTTAGATGTCATACTAGTGGACCCTTTTTATTGGAATAATGATTGGACCAATTTACCTTCATACTTCTACTTGCATAGTAAAATATTCGTTGTCGCAGTAAACTAAAACAGTCGTATATTCGTGGAATAGCCTATATACTACCTGTATATATCGTGTCTTTGAGCAGTATTCGTGTTTTACGATTGGTAGGTTGCTAATCTTGCCAATCACCCTTTACATTTTATCCGGGCTTGAGACCGGCTGTGGTAACCGTAGAGCTACTCAATCCACATGGCAATCAGCCCAGGCAGTTTTATGAATGCCACCTATTGAAGCTGGTAATGGGATAAGACAGGGAGATACTCTATTGTTCAACCTAATTATGGATGAAATAATAAAAAAATAAGAACTAAAAAAGGATACCAAATTGGGAGAAAAACAACTTAAAATAATCTGCTATGCAGACGACGCAATACTACTCTCTCAAATTGAAAAAGATTAACGTATGCTGCACCAATTTAATATAACCGCTTGGAAATTTAACATGTTAATGTCTCAAAAAAAAAAAAGACAAAATGCATGGTTATAACAGCAAATTTACTATGATGTATATTGTAGCTGGAAGGTCAGATAATAAAACAAGAGTGATGAGGTTTAAATATCTAGGCATCACATTATCTAGCTACGGAAAGATCGAAACTGAAATGGAAGATCATGTGAATAGAACAGAGTCGCAGGTGGCATGAATGAAACAATATGGAGAAATAAAATTATCGGAAAGAAATGAAAGGCAGAATTTACACAACCTTCATCAAACCAATAATGACATAGCGACTGAAACATGTTAGAAACAGCAGAGATGACATCACTTCGAAAAATTGATGGTAAGACACTATGAGACAGAGCTAGAAGTACAGATATACGATCTTGGTACAAGGTGGTGAACAACAAGAACTGACAACCAATAGACTAGTAAATACGTCAAGAGACGGTTCCCCAATAGGAAGACGATCAGTAGGAAGACCACGTAAACGATGGAACGATAACTTACTGGAGGCACATCGAAAAACAGACAGAGTCATGTCTACATAAAAAGAAGAACAAAAAGAAAAATAAGAACAAGAAGAGGGTATAAATTTACGTTTTTTTACGAGTCTCATAACTTTTTCGAACGCTAGCTTGAATAGCGTACATGATAGCGCATCTACCTGGCCCAGTGCTCTGTCAGTTTTAAAATGTTCTGTCAAAACAAATCAAATTCATGATGTAAATAAGTCAAGACATGATTGATAGCTATCTTTGTACATTAATAACAAATTAATCATACCCATTTAAAAGATTACGATTAACAAATGTCCTTTGAATTGTTTCAAATCTTGTTTAAAAATTATATGTAAGATTAAAAGATTTGAAATAAACGTGAAATTATTGAAGGGGCTACAGGTAATTGAAATTTAAACTTTAAACCGTTTTGTTTGCAAATATGTAAGTAATAATACCACATAATTTTGATTATCCCTTTGCATTAAATTACAGTGGACTTAGTTACTTTAAAGTATCACTGATCATTGTTTTATAAGACCGAAAAAAGTTGGGTTTTGCACAAGTCTGTTATATTTTTATATATATTTTATATTTATATTTTTATATCTTTTTTAAATAAATATCTTTTATATTTTCAATAAATTATATTTATTACGTGTTAGTCTTTTAAGGAGGAATCTAATATTCAACTGGAACATTTAACAGAAGAGAACACAGCTCTTAGGAACAGGTTAAGAGATGTCGCTCATTCCCCGTTGTCTGATAACGAAAAGCAACAGCTGTTATTCGATTCCCACAGACACCATAGTTCTGCACCAGCTTCTATAGCAACGAACGTAAGTATTTTATTGCAATTACGAATCCTACTATCATTAGAAAATAACTTTCACGTGAAATATCTTTTTCAGACGAATCTTTTGAAACTAAATAACCTGCAACGTAACCTCTAACCCATAGACATATAATACAAGATAGATTTATCTTTGCAATACCAGACCGTTCCTCCAGTGCAACCGAGTGGGCTGGGTTTATCGACCGCGTGACATCCTCATTGGCCATTTAGGTCACATGATCTATAAACCCGTAAAATTAGAAAGAAATGCAGTGACTGCTATGCGTTAGTTTTCTCTGTCGCACTGGGAGAACTCCCTTGTATTGTGATCAGTCTATCTTGTATTATATGTCTATGGAAGCAGCTAATATTGTTGTTCCCGTATCTGTTGATTACTATTCTATTTCATCCATTTGTCCTCTGTCAACCGATGGAAAGTTAAGCAAGGATTATTTGCTTTACTACTTTCGCACCCCGAATAAACACAACAATCTTAAGATCGAATGTTTATTTTAATACTCAAAAACTGAATAGCTTAAATACTTCTGATAAATTGTATATACTATTGAATTTTTAACTGTTAACAACAACATATTTGCAATACAATTTAACTAAAATTAAGCAATAAGTGTCAAATCAGCTGAATGTTTGGTGCGATTTTTTTCGTGCATGACAATATTAATTATCTCTTAAAATTACTTCGGACATGGTTTCCTACAAAAAAATCAATATTTTACCTACTTCTATGAATTTCTTATATTTATTTTTTACAATTTAGTATACAATTAATAATTAGTAGTAATATAACAGTATAATATAAAATCTTGTGTTTACAGTGGTTATTAGAATTTTGTAATAATAATGCAAATAATTTTATTAACAGCGCCTCTATCGACCGGGTTACAAACTTTTTTATTTATATTTAAAATGGACGATATGGTCTCCACAAGCGTTACTTTTATGAACTTCTATATTCGTTGGTATTACAGACGTCTATCAAGGAAAATAAAGATTATAGAGAGAGAAAATAAACCAATAATCATATTAAAAGATTTCTTCTGCATTTACTAAAATGAACTTCTGTGGAAATAGCATCGAGTTAGAATCTATGGAGAAGCTATGAGCGTATTAACGTATGTTTTACAAACGGCATAGGTAGGAGTGGCTAACTATAATACCAATATGGCGGTGACATCAGAGCCAGACTCAATAATAATAAAACTACTATACAAATATGACTAGTTATTCAGAAGATTTAATCATAGTCTAAAAAAGTGCAATACATTTTTAATAAACTATGATTTATTTATCCCGCGGTAAACACTAAAAACACGATATATTATATATAAAGATAAATTAATACAGTCAAATAGTATTCATTTATTCTTTGAAGTACGGGCCATTACTTTGTTTACATATTTGTATACTAACCTGTGGAACGATATTCCTGAAGATTTTTTATTAACATTACTTCTGCTACTGCAACTACGTTGAGAACAAAAAACCATTATTATGCACTATCACAATAATATATTACAGTTTCTATAAAATTATTATAAATCTGAGAATATTCGAAAAGCAACAAATATAACCAAACATATACGATCTGTCAAAAGTTTCAAAACAATAATACCAATATGGCCGAAGTTAGGTCGTTTTTAGTCACGTGATACCCTCTCCATAGATTCTAACTCGATGGGAAATAGCATAGAAAATACCTGTTCTTCTTCTTCTTTTTTCGTTTTATGGCCTCCACCTCTTAGGTACGTGGCCAGCTCATGTATATATTTTTATTTCAATTATAGAAGGGAATTCTCCTCACAGAGATTCTGGAAATAACCATATTCCCTTCAACTATTTTGGACAATTTATGGTGGATGTTCTAAAATAATTCTATATGTCATTAATGATTTTTCTTGTTCCATCTATTAAGCTATGTAAGGTATATCTGGAATTTGGCATCTTGGACAGGACATCAGTGGTTAAAGGATAGGTTAGGTTGGGTATTTATTTATATTTTACTTACATTTTAATTTGGAAAATATTGATAAACTTACCAATCGTTTTCAAGGTTTTAGCATTGATATTGTGGAAAATATTTTGTACTGAAATGGGCGTTGGGCATCCATCTTTAATAAGTTTTTGATATAAATCAAATAGTGGTGTCTTATTGATAGGGCACTCTAGTAAGATGTGTATTATACTTCCTATTTGGCCACACTCACAAAAAGGGGAATCAATACAGTTAATTTTAAATAGATGATCTGGCGCCAAACAATGTCCTGTTCGTAACCTAATAATTGTTGTCAGGTGTCTCCGGTCTACAAAGTCAAACTTATGAAACCATGGTTTTATAGAGAATTCGCTTTGACATTGTTGATACCACTTTCCCTTTTGTTTAAACTGTTTAAGCCAATCAAGTTTAAATTCATTTATTAATGTTTGAGTAAGAAATGAAAGATAGTCCATTTTATCAATTTTTATATTAGCTGGGATGTTTAGGGTTCTACCTATATTCGCCAATTGATCTGCCACAATATTCCCTTTTACTCCTGAGTGGCCTGGAATCCAGGCTATAATAATATCAAATCCTGCTTCATTTGCCTCAAGTATTAATCTTTTAGTTAAATTTACAATGTGGTTATTTGTTCCCCAACAGGTACTTTGTAATTTTTGGATTGCACTTTTTGCATCAGAGAATATTATTGCTTTTTTAATATTTTTTTCTAAGCAAACTTCTACTGCCTTATTAATGGCAATAATTTCAGCAGTGCATATTTGTATGTGATCATGTAGTCTAGATGCATAGTTATAATTTATTGATGGAATGTGAACTCCAAACCCTACTGCCCTTGAATTGGGTTCTAATGACCCATCTGTAAATATCCAAGTGAATTCTTCATAGATGGTTGAGAATTCATTAAGAAATTGTTGATTACTATATGTTTCTCCTTTTTTGTTTTCGGAGAATATTGTTTTTATTCTTTCTATTTGATATTTTAGCTCAATCTGGTAACAGGACTTAATACTATCTTTAAATAATTGTTTAAGATCTTGATCAAATTTACTTTTAATGTAAATAAGATATGGTGTCTCTTTTAATTTCCACATTCCTATCTGATTATTGATTTTGAACTCTAGCTCAGACAATATTTCATTCAAAGGGTTTTCTATGTCAGCTGAGATTTTAAGATAAAATTTAGCAGACAGGATTTTTCGTCTGATTTCTAATGATGTTTCTCCACTCTCAGCTAATAAGGCATTCGTAGGAGTAGATCTCATACAACCTGTGATAATCCTCAAAGCTTAAATTGGATTTTGTCTAATGTTACGAGGTTGGCTTTACTGCAGGGTTTTAGTACTGTACATGAGTAATCAAGGTGTGATCTTATAATACCTTTATAAATTAACAGAAGTGAAATAGGGTCTGCTCCCCACCATGTGCCACATAATGCTCTCATTATATTCATTCCTTTTTGAGCTTTCGTTTCAATATTTTTAATGTTTTCTGTCCAGTTTAAAGAATTATTAAAAACTAACCCTAAATATTTATTAGAGTTTTTGATAGGAATGATCTGTCCATCTATTGTTAAAGGTATGTCATTTATTGTGCTCCTCATATTACTAAATATCATTGCTGATGTTTTATCTATTGATAAAGGAAGCTTATTTTCGGTTAGCCAAATAATAATGTCACCAAGGCAATCATTAGCAAGTCTAATAAGATTATTTATGTTTTTGCCAGTTATTACAAGAGCTAGGTCATCAGCGTATTGTATTAATTTGAATTCAGCTGGTATAATGTCATGTAATGATTTAGTGTACACATTAAATAAGAGTGGGCTCAGAGGTGACCCTTGAGCCAAACCTCTATCTGTAGTGTTTGGTCCAAATATTTCATTCTGCTTATCTCTCACATAGATCATTCTATTATTCAAAAATTCAAATATTAAATTATTATATGCACTAGGAATATTTAATTCAGTCATTTTTTTATATAGCAGATATATATCTACATTATCATATGCAGCTTTTAAATCAAGAAAAACAGTTAATACCACCTGCTTATCAGTAAATGCATTAAGTACTATATGTGATAGTAGTGTATGTGCATGATTGCAACTAAGTTCCTTGCGGAACCCTATTTGATACTGCGATAAGATGCTGTTGTGTTCTACAAACCATTCTATTCTATTCTTAATTATATTTTCCAGTACCTTACCTACACATGAAGTTAGGGCAATTGGTCTATAGCTCTCTGGATTATCTGGGCATTTAGTAGGTTTCAAAAAAGGTAATATTAATGTTTCTTTCCATTCAAAAGGAATTTTACTCATTTCTATGATATCATTAAAAATTTTAATAAGATGAGAATGTGCTATTGGGGGTAAATTTTGAATCATAGAATATGATACATTATCTAACCCTGTTGCTTTATCTTTTTTGGAGTATATAATATTTTTATACTCATTAAATGTAATGGATTGAACACTTTCATTATTATCATTGAACAAGGTAAAGTAGGGATTTACATTACAAGAGGCTAAGCTGTCTAGAATATTTATACAAATTTCTTTATTGGGAGAAATTGTATTTCTATTGCCAAAATATGTTTTAAATTTTTTAACTGTATTCCAGATTTTGCTGATTGGTGTATCTCGATTAAGGGTCCCACAAAATGCTCTAAAACTCATCCTTTTCTTAATTTGAAATTGCCTTTTCACAAAAGCCTTTACTTTATTACAATTTATGTAGTTTTCCAGTGTCTGATTTTCAATGTAATTCTTAATTGATTCTCTTCTTTTTAATATCAATTGCTCACATTCATCATCCCACCATGGTACACTCTTACCATTCGGCTTGTACATATGATATGGAATATTTTCTTGTGCGCTTGAATTGATTATTTCATACCATTCATTATATCTTACATCATGTAGAACATGCATTTTCTTTTCAATAGTATCTGCATATCTAGACCATTTTGCTTTTTTAAAATTACGC